GTTGGGCGCTGGATGTCTGGGGGCTGTGTGAGCCTGGGAGGGTCTCACCAGAAAGGTCTGCATGTCATGGACCAGCTAGACCCGCTGGAGGGGTTAGACGTGGCCCCTGGATGTCTTTGGTACACAGCCAAATTGGGCTTATTTCAGAAGCAAGGGCTGAATTCGCCCTGGTATAAAGATGTGGCCACCTCTGCAGCAGGTACTCTGCTGGCTCCACGTAGTGCCAGGCAGGCTGTGCAGAGCCACGGGTGGGCTGGGCTCTGTCTGGGCCTGCCGCTGTTCACACCAGTCTGACTGGATGAGGCCAGGGCCACAGGCATCTTCCTAGCCTCCTCACCACCAGCAGCCACTGGCCATGGGGTCCTGCTGGCTCCCAGCCTTGTCAATGTGGGCACACACTCAGCCACGCCACCACAACTGCCCTCCCTGCTCTGCCCTGCTCCAGGCTGCCTTCAGAATCCTCTTTCCACACATGGGCTCCTGACCCTTATCAACCAGCTGCACCTATGGTGCCTTCTGGAGCCAGTTCTCTCCTTGGCCAATTCAAGGAAAGCCATTTGTACAAGGGTGACTGGCCCCTATTGGTGCCTGGTGCTAGCGAGTCTTGGTATCTGAGAAAACTTTTTGGGTGATTCAATAACTTTCACATCCTTTGTGATGGGGTGGGGGGCAAAACGAGTCAGAGGTGGGGAGGGAAGGTGTGGCCTGGTGGGAACAGGATGCAGAGGAGGTCCCATGCCTGGGCCTCATCCTCACTAAGCCACTGGAGCTGTCCTCTTGGGGCAGATGTGGCCACAAGACAAGACAGCACTTAGTCCCAGGAGGGCACAGGAGGCCTGCAGAAGGGCTGTGGGAGGAGGCTGATGGGGCAGGGGAGGGTGTCTGCCATCCAGAGGACCTCTGGGGTGGTCCTACCTCCAGGTATAGAATTTACAACCCCCCTTCTACACCTCAGGTGGGGCTTTTGCAGGACCACAGGGCCAGTCCAGCCTGCTTACCAGCTGGCATCATCCACATCACCCCTCAGGTCTTTCCCCAGGTCCTCTGACTCTGAAAAGGGAGGACAGAGTAATTAGCACCATCCATCTGCACACTGGTGGTGTGCACCAGGCTGGGACGCTGAAGTGAGCCCCCTGCCCCACTGTGCCCTGTGACGCCCCTCCCCCAAAGCTGGGGCTCCAGCACATTCCACAGCTCAGACCCATGACACCTGAGCCCCAGGGTCCATGTTCTTTCCTGGGGACTCAGGGTGAGGCATGGTATAGCTCCCCCTGGAAGTCACAGAGCAGGAGGGTGGGTGAGGCCCTGATCTCTCCAGGGGAGGCCACAGAAGGAACGTGAAACCATATGGGGCTTGTCCAGGAAAACCCTGTGGTCACTAACTGCCTGGCCCCTCTGAGAAGCACTGCTGGCATGTTTGCAGTGGTTTGTTTTCCAAAAAGAGCTAGTACGGGTCTTTATTCTGGGTGAGGGGCAGGTAGAACATAAAGCCGTTCTTTTAAGTACTGATGGACAGGGCTGTGTCCAGGGTCTGGTGGGAGGACAGCTGTGGTCTGCACCTTGCTCAGCTCCCGGCTGCTCTGCTTCAAGTAAGCATCAACTTCTCTGCTTCTGGGCAGAGCCTTCTAAGGAGTCACGTGTGGGTGACCTCCCACTAGGCACTGGGCATGAGTGGGGCCTGGCCCGTGCAGATGCCTGGGAGGGCCTCCCCAGGACTCTAACACCTCAGGGGGCTCCAGAGCTGCACCCAGCCCCAGCCAGGGACTTGGAGCTGCCCCCAAAGGATTTCCTCACAGAACATGGCAGAGTCCAATCTGCCCTGGCCTCCCATTCAGCTCAGCTCCAGGCCAGAGTGGGGAGTTCCAGGCAGTAAGACCAGCAGCTGACCACAGGTCTGACCACGGGAACTTGGTATGAAGCCAGGGAGGGTAAAGCACAGAGGTTTTGCAGAGGGCTAAGTAGGCTCCCAGGCATGGCCACAGCAGGTTCTGGAGCCCCTGGGGCTCTTGGCTCTGCTCCCCCACGCCCAGCCTCCCAACTGTGATGAAGACATGGAGACTCCCTGTCAGTAGCCAGCACCCGGCAAGTTGTTGAGCTCACTGGGTATGGGAGTGAGCAGTCCAGTCCACACAGTTGGGTCCCTGGCAAGCAGCCACATCCCAGGACACACAACTGGGGCCACCCACTCTTCTTCCTGCAGCAGCTTGGCCACCTGGGCCACCATACGCCGGAGTAGGGGGTGGTCCTCAAACATGGTCTGGGTCCTGGGCTGTGAGGAAGGCCCATGCAGGGTGGTGGGTCTGCCAGCCAGACAGGTTTCCTCTCACATTGTCCCCTCCTCTTGCGTTGTTTGGGGAAGGTCTGAACCCTGGGAACTGAGACCCCACATCCTGCAATGGGGCCACATTCCAGGTGGCCTGAGGCAGGCTCTGAGACCTGCCATCTGGTCACTTCTGTCAAGAACTTTGCACTTCTCAGGAGAGGCCAGGGGATAAGGGTGGTGCAGGCCCTACAGCGGCTTACATCCCTGGGACAGCACATCTCTAGACTTTCACTTTGTCCCCAGGGCTTGAGTAAGACTGCATCTCCATGTCTGATGCCAATCCTGGGGACGAGTACAAGATGAGTCCGTGCTGCTCTCCTTGTCTCCTGGCCACATGGGTAGCTGCTGCTCTTGCAAGGCTTGGGCTGCCACAGAGCATCCCCTGCCCTGCCTTTGCTCCCTGACACTGGCCCCTGCACTCAGGCTGCCCAGCTGGGGCCCCACTGCCAGCAGGAGACTTCCCAGTGGGCCCTGGGCATGACCAGTGTGGGTTGGAACATCTGGCAGTACTGGTCTGAGCCAGGACCTACCCGGCTCCCTGCGTAGCCTCCGGATGCGGCTCGGGGGGTCCCCCCTCTGGTGCAGGCCGCCCACACTCCTACTTCTTTGAAGCTCGGCCCCCTCACTGGCTGCCTTGAGGTGCCCAGGGGCTCCCACGGGCAGGGCCCCAGGTCCAGGCCGGTGCCTTCTGTGTGTGGCATCTGCGTCCTTCTCCATCCCGAAGCTTCTATCTAGTACAGCCTCAGTGGGGGGTCATGGCTGCCCCTCACACCATCTCTGCTGTAGAAAAGTGGCCGAAGACTGTGCCGGGGGAAGGCCCCTGTCGCCATGGGGCTGCTGTGATGTCACTGCAAGGTCAGAGGTCAAAGGTCACCCAGTCCCAGCCCAGGGTCCTTCTAGCATGAAGGCAGGGGCACGCATTTGTTCCCTGCTTCCAGCCTCTGGACTGTCTTCTGTGTCCCAGACTCTTCTTTCAGGGACAAACTGAGGTGTGAAGGTAGGGTAAGGAGGGCAGTGCCCAGTGGCCAGTGCCTTCTCCTCAGTCCGCTGGATATAGGACAAAGCTTTCCACAGATGGGGCTTCGTGGAGGTCTCTGGGAAGGTGGGTCTGAAGGCATTGCCACCAGCGGCTGGAGCTGAACCAACAGTATTTTGCTTCCTGTTCTGGAGGCCTCCATCAGAGATGGGGCCCATGGGGTTGGGGCCAGGAGCACCATTTCCTCCTGTGTTCCTACGTGGTCACCCCGCTGTGTGCTATCCTCATCTGTGCATAGGATGACAGCTCTGCTAGGTGAAGATGCCTCAGTGACCTCACTTTACCTTAATCACCCCTGACAGGCCTCAGTTCCAAGCACAGTCCTACCCAGAGGTCTTGGGGATGAAACACAGCAGAACAGAACCCCCTGGCCCAGAAATGCTCATTTTAAAGCCTCATCCCAGTAGGGCTTAGGAACAAAACCACCGTGAGACTGACCAACAGGAGCAAAGCACATGAGGTTCTCACACTGGCAAGGCCTGTTAGGTGACCTGCTCTGTCCCTTTGGCCTGTCCATGTTCCTAGCTTGGGGAGCATGGGGAGGAGACAGAAGGGACTTCCCACACTGAGTCTTCAGCCCTTTCCTTTCTGATTATTTCTTCAAACAAGCCCATGGCATCCTTGTGTCCAGGAGGCTTGAGGTCACCCGGCCAAGTGCCAAGGTAGGAAGTGGCCACTTCTCCCAGTACCCACCAACTTTCAGCCTGGGGAGACCATGCCTCCAAGGTGCCTGCATCAAGGCACGGTTGGAGCCAAGATTGAAGACAGGAGGCAGTGAATAGACACTGTCCTCTCTCCAATAACTTCTAGGGCCCCGGAGATGAGGACAGCAGGAACCCTTGTACTCCATTCTGGTCTCAGTGCCCTGCCCAGAGTTCATCCACCACCCACAGTGGCCTGGGGCAGAGAAGAGAGGCCCTGACCTGCCTGTCTGGGCACAGGGGAGGCCGGCCAGGCCCATCCAGCCTTGGCCACCCCAGGGAGGCCCTCACACATAAACATTGCCCACCAGACCTGCATATGCCCTAAGAAACATCTGATTTGGTACCTCTAAGCAAAACCCCCTGGTTTCTCTCAAATAAGAACCAACAGGATGAGATTACAAAAAAAAAAAAGACTGAAAACCAAATGGAAAAAAAGAAAATGGAACACATTGAACGGCCCTTGCCCCAACCATGGAATCTCTACCCAGAGCCCCCCTCCCCTTGACCCTCTCCTGTCCCCAAGAGTGAAACAGCTCCCTGAGGGGGAGGTATCCTGAGGGCCACCCATCTCTGCTCAGGCCAGTGCCTTGAGACACCATGCCCCCTGCGTCCTAGAAGACAGAGTATGTTGGGGTCTGTCTTCCCAACATGCTCATGTCCCTCAGCCATCCAGGTCCTGCACCTGTCCTGAGGGCATCGTGGGGCAGGATCCCACCCAAAGCCCCCAGGCAAAGAAATATCATCTGCCACCAGTGATACAACCTGTCACCAGAAGAATGTCACCTGTCAATAAAACATCCTGTCATCAGAGGGACATCACCTATTACTAGAACAATGTCACCTGTCATGAGAGCAATGTCATCCAGCTCCCTGTGCCTGGCACCACCACTTGTATGACTATCCATTGGCACCCCTGAAAATCAAGCCAGTCCTCAGAAAGAATAAAATATCTGTTTTAATTGGACAGTAAAATACATTGCAAATTATTAGTATTTTATAAACAGAGACATTAAGTTACAAATCCATGTTAAAAATTGCAGCTCGGTGCAGCATCATAGCTGTGTGTCCCAAAGTTTATTTTTTACATTTTCCTCCACTATTTTTGTGACAACATTAACGTTACTACCTGCCATCTATACTGACCCTGAACAACAATGTTTCCAAACAAGAACAGAGAGCACCAGGCATGCAGTGCCGACAGCAGTTGAGGACACTGTGTGGAGATCTTCCTCGGCAAGCTCCAGGAGGGTGAGGAGGGGACAGGGCCCACAGAGACACAGTGCTCGGATTCATGGCAGTGGCACCTGTGTCACTGAAGGCTCCACTCTTCAAACTCATAGTTTCTTCTCTTTGATTTTTCTTTTGAGGACCTTTTGCTGGCTTTCATGAAATACACAGGACTCCTTTTTACGCTGCCCTCCTATGATGTCCTCTTGTTTACCAGGTACAGGTTGGATAGGAATATCCAAAGTTAGAAAGAGCTAATTTAAAACAGTCTTTTAAAAATATTAAGAAAAACAGCGTGAAAAATGCACACTTCTATTTTTAAAATCTTTCCCAAATTTCCACCAGGGGAGGAACTCTAACCTTCATCAGAAGGATGTGTGCTTGAGCTGGGGGCTCAGCAGACACCTGGAGACTGGAGCCCCTCTGCAGAGGGTGCCTCCCAGGTACCAGGAGCACTCTCAGGTGGGACTTCTGTGCAGCTCTGCATGTCCTAGTCACAAACTGACCCTTTGGCCAGGAACAAAACCTCATCAACAGCTGAAGAGAGAGGCCATCTGTGGCTGGTGATGAAGCAGGATGTCCGTCCAGGCAGGGCTGAGGGCCCATGGTGCAGAGATGCACAGGCGGCAGGGCACAGTGAGGGCAAGGTGGGAACTCATGTTCTGCAGCCACTGGGCTGAGCGAGGGCTCCCAGGCTGGGCCGGGCCACAGCAGTGGTGGTGCCCACACTTCTTGATGATCTGGCTGATCACTGAATCCCATAAACCTGGAGAATGAAAATTAACTCACCCAATGGGCAAGTTAGTTCCTGCCATAGCAGATGGCAGCAGCTCTCAGATCAGGCGTGACATGGGCTTGATGGTGCAGAGGCATGTGGACCCAGGCTGGTGGTCCTGGACACACCACTCTTGATGGTGCAGAGGCATGTGGACCCAGGCTGGTGGCTCTGCCCTTGTCCCTACTCTCTTGTCCTTTCCAGGCTTCAAATGGAATGTGTGGAGGCCTCGGATGGCTGCCTGATGCAGCTCTGGAAACTCTTATCTCCAATGGGGTGCTCCCTGCAGAGGGAAGTGGGGGAGAGTGAGCATAGCCCAGCTGCCCGCTGTCCTCTGGCGGATGTTTTGGCAGCCTTCTCTCCTATTCCTAAATGTGGTACATGTTTATTGCAGTAAATACGAAAAATAAAGAGAGGCCAAAGGAAGAACAAAGCACAAAGCTCCCTCTGGGCATGCCTAGCCAACTCCAGCTGCTGTGTGCACACGTGTAGGTCAAGTGTGCAGGCGAGGAGTCACATTTGCACATGTGTGTGGAACGTATGCAGCTGTATGTGCCCTTTGTCGAATGCAGTATGTCAGCAGAGTGCATGCACATGTGTGTGTAGTGTGAGATCAGGCCCACAACTCTCTGCCTGTGTGCAGTGTCTGGCACATTGCAGGTGCTCAGCACCCGCCCTCTGCAGCCCATATGCTGGCTGTGGGAAGCAGGACTGTGCTGCACATGTTGTTTTCCAGCCTGCCGTCTTCAGTCAGTGTCAGTGGAGCAATGTTTCAGAAGGTGAATGTGCACTCTGCCCAGAGGGGTGTCTAAGGTTCTGACTTAGTGGTGGGGGAGGGCTAGGAGCTGGGCACAAACACATCTAGGCCACATATGAGGCCACATCTCCCAGGAGGTGCTACGCACTTGGTCCCAAGAACAGCCTGTTAAGTCGGAATCCTAAGGACCTGCTGCTGTCCCTGGGTTACACTTCCCTCCCCAGAATGGCTCCCCAGCTGGTTGCCCTGGAGGGAGGAGAAGGGAGGAGAGAAGGAAGAGTGGGGGAGGGAGGGAAGAGCTGCGGGAAGGGGGAGGAGGAAGGGGTGTGCAGAAGGAGGCTGGCCTGAGAGGCAAGAGAGACATAGGAGCAATGTGGGGGTGGTGGTGGTGTGAGGGTGGGGGTGCAGTAGGGTGGGAAGAGGTCTGGGACTCCAGCTAGGGGCCCTAGAGAGGAAAGCCAGGCCCCTGCTCTAAAGGAGGGAACAACACAGCCACACCCTGCTGAGACCTCCCAGGCTCCAAGCTAACTGGAGTGGCTAACTCACTGGCTTCCATATCTTGTCTTCTGGAACTTGTCCCTCTTATACTGGGCATGTTCCCGCTCCAGAGCCACGACCACAGCAATGAGGTGCTTCAGCGTCTTGTATGTCTCCTGGGGGTCGTCAATGAGGAATGCGGAGTACTCCTCCTGCTCAGGGCCATCATACACAGATCTGCTCCCACAGGCCTCTGCACACCAGGTGGAGGGGTTAGTGCCCTGGGAGCCCAGGCCCAGCACACCAGCCCTCACCCTACACTGGCACAGCTCCCTTCCAGCCTATGTTCCCAGAGCAGCCACCACCCAGGGAGGGCCGACTATTCACTCTCACACTTAGGCAGGAACTGAAGCCTCTGCCACAGAGGACCCTGGGGGAGCTGTGGGGAGTTATGACTGAGGAGCTGGCTGGTACTTCTGAAGCATCTGTTGCCCCTAAGCCCTCAGGGAACACTGGGCAGAGGCCTTAGCCCACCTCTGACCAGCCTGATCATGGGTGACCCATTGGTGACACCCACTCGCTACCTGCCTCGCAGCCAGAGCCAGGGATGTCCATACCCAGACGCCAGGCCAGCCTCGCTCAAGAGTGGTGGGAGACCCCAAATAGCCAGGCTGGGAGTGGGCAAGACAGGCCATCTCACATGGGCCTTGAGCTTGGCATGTCCACAGCCAGGACACAGACTGTGCCACAACTTCTGAGGACTCTGCCCTTTACCCCATTTCCTGACAGGGTGAACTTCCTGGACACACCACTCCCACTAAAGACCATTCTGCGGTCTCTGGGCCTCAGCAGAGAAGCAGTGTCGGCGTCTGGGCCTACATCTCCACCCACTGCACAGGACACCCTTAGTTCTGCAGTCTGCCCCAGACTGGTTGTTCCCTCAGTCTAGGGGTTGAAATCCTCAGCCCCAGGTGGCGGTGCTGGGGCTCAGTCATCCTAAAGAGGAGCCTGAGGGGCCAGCCTGATCCAGATAAAAATACCACAGGGCATCCCAGCAGATGACCAGGTATGGGAACTGAGGGAAAAGACCCCTATCTGAGGTCCCTTCTTATAGCACAAACCTGCTGAGACAGAGATGGGTGCCAGGAGGGAGGTGCTGCTGCAGCAAACATGCAGAAAAGCAGCTTGGCAAGTCTGCAGTTTGGGCTGGGAAAAGCCTAGATTAACACAGGCCATCTGGGGGCTTGGGCAGACCAAGACAAAAGGCAATCTTAAGACAAGGCACTGAGCTTAACTGAATCGCCCTCTCCTAGTGAGGACTGGCCTCCTGCACTCGAAGCCAGTACAGCTAGTGGAGCTGGTGGGCCCTCCCTACCGAAGGTGAGATGAGGGAAGAAAGAGGAGCTGTGGAGGTGGAATTGCTAAGCAAAAGGGAATCAGAACCTAGATTTGGGAAATTCTAGCCCTATCCATAGTTAGGAAAATGAGAAAGACTGGGAGAGAGCACTGAGGGTGTGACTCAGCAGCCACTTATGAAGAGACTATGTGATGAGGAGTATGTGTGGAACCAAGGATGTAATCAGTCCTGTCAACAAGGCCCAGAACCAGACGGGGTCACTCTAGCAGGACGGCTTGACCTCAGGCCAGCCAGGTAATGGGCTAGAGCAGGACCTCAGAGAACGTTGCGTCATAGGCCCAATGCCCTGTGCAAGGTGCCCACTCAGTTTGCCCAGGCCCTAAATGGGCTATTAATCCCATGTGCTGGGTGAAGAAACATTGTCCTAGGACACACTCCAATAAGCTGTGACAGCCACCTCACAGCACAGGGCTTCTCACTCCTGCCACCAGCTTGCAAAGCCCATCTGTACAATTGCAGAAAGTGGCCAGACTAGCACCAGCGCCCAGCACAGGCCCCACTATGCCCTGGGCACTGCACCCATAGCCCTGGGCTGAAGTCTGTCCCCAAACTCCAGGTAATATCCAAGAAAGGAGGCACAAGGTTATCAGCCAGGGGAACAGCCACTCCACATAGCATGCAGAGGGGACAGAGACTACCCATTGCCCTTGCATGTTGCCTGTGGTAACACCTGTGGGGAGAGGGAGTGATATGCGTGGAGGACATCTGAGGGTCCAACATCTGGAGAGATAGAGCTTGGATAATGCAAGTGCCACATCCTGAAGCAATTAGGACAAATTACCTGTTTGGAGAGCATAGATCACAGGCAGGGGCCTGGGAGTTGTAAATGATGGCTTTAGGCCAGAGAGAGCTACACCAAGACGTCCAGCCAAGCCAGTGTCCACAAGCCCATGTCTCTAAGAAGGCTCCTTACTAGGAGGGAGCTGCGTGTGAGAGCATCTCCACATGCCCACTGTCACCCAATTGGCCCTCACCCACCCCCTCCTCCTCTGCCTGTCCATCTACCCGTGCAGTCCCCATCCATCTATCTATCTGTCTCTCTAACCTCTCACCCATCCAGCCATTTGTCCATCTGTCCATCCATACATCCATCTGTCCATCTGACCAACAAACAGCTGTGAGCACCTGCTATGTGCCAGGCACGGGAACAAATGAGGCCTGCCCTCTGTTCTCCAGAGGCCACAGCATGTGGACAGAGAGGAGATTACAGATGCAGTGAGGGGGATGAGCCCAGACCACTAGCTGGGCTGGTCAATGCTCCCAGGAGTAAGAGACTTCCAGGATGAATAGGCATTAGCCTGGTGGGGGCAGAAGGGCATTCCAGGCTGAGGGCAGAGCAGTAGCCATAGTGTGGGGTGCAGGGTACCCCTAGGCCATGGGAGCTAGAGGAGTTAGGAGCAGCTGGGGACCTGGTTGGCTCTCACATGGTAGCCTCAGCCTCTCTGAGCCCCCTGACTCCACCCTCCTATCTGGCTGCTGCTCTTAGTCGGCTGGGAAGAGACTGGGTGGCTACCCAGCTCCCTGTCTGCAGCCAGGGTGGAGCCCTGGAGCCTCAGACCAGGCTGGAGACCCAGCTTGCTTTCCGTGAGAGAAGATACTGCAAGTGTGGGGTGGCCCGTGCACATGTGCGAATGTACATGCAGGCCCCAAGGCACATATGTGCATGCACATGTGGGCCATCTGCGCATGTTTGTGCATATACATGCAGGTTGTGTACACATGTGTATGTACATGTGGGCCACCCATGCATGTGTGTACAAGTACATGGGGGCTGTCCATGCCCATGTATGTGTGTACATGTGGGTCATCCATGCATGTATGTATGTATATATATGGTCATCCATTTGTGTATGCAGACCTGTATATAAGCATGCACGTGATCATGTGTTGTGTTCATATGCACATGTGTCCATGCATGTGTGCAGGCAGGGGTGTGTGGACTGTGCACACATATGGCTGGCTATGTGCGCACACATATATGTGGCTGTGCATGTATGCACTGGTACCTGTGCACACCCAAGCAGGGCTCATGGGATATCCTCATGTTCAGTATATCTGATATTTCTGGGCTAGAGTAGGAAAGGACTGACCCAGCTCACAGGCTTACGCCCAGCACCTCTGCCCTGTTTCCATTCTGAGGAGGCTCAGGGCCCTGTCAGAGCATCTCCAAAGCAATCAAGATCCCCTAGACCTGGCACAGACATACACAGCCATTTCCCTCCTGCTGGGTTCTCTTGCCTCTGCCTCTCCTGAAGTACAGACCTCCATGTGCTATTCCCATGTCAAGTAATCTGTCTTACCTAGTTTGTTTTTGTTAAATTCCATAAAACAATGAAATGTCAAGGATGATTAAGCTGTGCATATATTCGATACACACATGCACACAAGCACGTACATCTGGAAGCAGGAAAAGTTATATCAGGGTCTTCTAAAGAATTTGGCAGTGTGACTTTGGTTGCAAAAGTTATAGTCCATCTAAAAACTATGGAACCTGTTATCAAAGTAACTTTTCCACATAGCTGCCAAACCTGCAGGAAGCTTCCCCATTTGCCAGCACTACAAAGACACTGCATGCAGCTCACAGGGCTCCAGAGGCTCAGAGGACGGTCTCTGCCCCTGCAGAACACCCCATGCCCTGACCATGCCCGGCATCCCCTGGACTGTAGTGTCACCCACCAGTGGGCCCACCTTGCATCTTCTCCAGCTTGCCCATGTAGGAGTGGAAGAGAGAGTACACACGCTCCATCTCCCGGTCCCCGTCAATGTCCAGGTGGATGTCAGCTGGGAGGTCCCTAACCAGACACAGAGAGAAGAGAAAAGTAAAAACTCTTATTTACATAATGCTTTCTATCATGATGCTAGCTTTTCAAATCACTAAAGAGAGAAGATGGAGAGACTGACACTAAAATGTGTCTGTGGCCTGGATGAGCTAACAGAGGCCCCGGGCTGCTGTGGATGTCTAGATGCCTTTTAGGGCCCACAGGTCTGCATGGGCAGCACACAGAGCAGATTGGTTTTCCCTGGGGAGAAGCAAAGCCTCCTGGGCGTGCCCTGCCCTGCAGGCCTGCAGGCTCCCACTCTGGCTGACTCAAGGCCACATCTGTGAAGCTGGGTTTCCAGTCCTGCCCACCAGTGCTCAGGGGACTGAGGGAGATGGGCATTGGCCACCCATGGCATCACTGTGCCACAGTAACAGGTGGCTATCACCCACATGGGCACAGGTCTCATGAGCACATCCCAGCAGGGAGCAGAACTGCTGACTCTGTTCCATAGGTAGGGTGTGCAGGGCAGCAGATGGGGCTCAAAGGGGGCATCTGTGCAAAAGACCCCTGCCAGGGCGGGTCCTTTGGGCTCCTCTCAGAGAAACAGGATGACACCATGCCTAGGGCCTTCTCTGCCCCCTCACCCTGCCCCCCAGGATAGCCCTGGCCCTAGCAGGGGCTTAGGAGGAGTCTCAGGCTCAAACCTAGGTGCTCCTGGAGTGGAGGACACTCAGGCACAGAGAATAGCCCAGCTGGAGCACACTGGCAAGCAGGTCCACACTACCCAAACCTGCAGATGGACCTCCCTGCAGGGAAAAGCCTAGTGGCTGCACACAGCTGCATGGGGGCCACACCTACCCAGTGCAGGGTGAACAGCCCACGGCCATGTCCGAGGAGGCCCTGCAGCATAGCCAGTGACCATTCAGATAGGCGGAGGGGTGGTAGACAGTGAGCCGCTGTCGGTTGCAATGGCTGACCTTGCTGAGGACATCAACCCAGTCCTTGGCCTCCACACAGTTGCTGGCCTGGATGTAGAGGGTGCGCTCCGGCTGTACCACCTGGAACATCTGAGGGTGCAGAGCGCTCAGGGTGCCAGCAAGCTTGGGGCAGGCATCTGGGAGCACTGGGGGAGGCCAGGCAGGGAGCAAGGGGCTTTCTGCCACCCTGTAGCTTGTCAGAGGGGTGTCGGGGGAGGCTTGGTGACTCAGCTAGGCTCCTGGCAGTGGCCTATCCTGGACCTCAGGTTTCCACAAAAGTACAAAGGTGGACACACTGGCCCCACAGACCCCTGAAGTTGACCATGGAAGTTACACACATACATCTTCCCGTCTTGTGATCAAGGATAGGCTGCACATGAGGGGCTTCAGAGCTGGTCCCACCCACCTTCCTGCTCCAAGCCCCCTTCTCAGGCCTCAGCCCCACCTGACTGCCTGGGGATGCTGCCTCCTCCTCCCGCTGACGTTACGGCCTGATGAGGCCTCTTAGAGCCCACACAGGTTGCCATGTATTATCCACTTGACAGACATTACAGAGTACCAGGCCTCTCCTAGGTCCTGGGGACAGTGTGGCCCACAGTTCTGCCCCTCATGAATGTCCAGCCATGAGAAAGACAAAAGTGAGTACACAGAATAGGTCTTCTCCACAGAGAATAGGGGCTGCGTGGGGTTGGGGCACTAAGTGCATGGTCCCCCATGCTCAGGAGAATAGCTGAGAGGAAATGAGGCACAGTGACAGGGCTGAGGGTGCCCGGGCAGGAAGGACAGGAGGGACAAACCCTGAGGTCATAGATGACCAGAGCTCCTGGCACAGGCCAGGCTGTACCCAGAAGATTGGGTAGGTAGGGAGGCGGGCCACCAGGAGCCATATGCTGTCCTGCTGGATGGGAGATGGTGGCTTCTCGTTAGGGTACAGGGGAACGGCCCCTCCTTGGAGGGGGCAGCTCCAGCTCCATGTCTTTGGTGGACTCCTGAAGTCTCACATACAGGCCTAGAGCTGTAACCCTGCACGGCACACACTTGTGCCCCATCTCAGACCTTGCAGGGGCCTGTTCAGGGCTGCAACTGGCCAAAGAGGGGCCTGGCCAGTGACCCACCCTCAGATGATAAGAACGAGGCCCACTAGCCAGATGCCTTCCCGAGCAGGGGCCTTTTCAAAACTTCATCTGGGCCTGTTATGCATTCTCCTGGACAACATCCCCCCTATGCACTGGGCCCATGGACAGCTCTCTGATGCCATGCTGGGGAGAGGTGTGTGCTGGGGTGCCTGTCCCCAGGGAGCAGCTCTGAGGCTAAGGCCAGAGGACTGCACATTTTCACTATTATTCATCAAGTATCACTCACAGACCCACTTTGCTCTAAAAAGCCTCCAGTGACTTATACAAAATCCTCTATTGAAACAGCGAACACAGAAAACACTTGGAAAGTCAGGAACAGAGAAATATAAATAGGAGAAACAGGGCATGAACGTGAGTGTCAGATGGGGACAGACAGTCCTGAAGAGCCCAGAGTTTCCCAGACAGCTGCAGGGGTCACTCAGCCTGTCGCCAAGGCTGTGGAGGGGACAGATGCCTCCAGACAAGGGCCACAGTGAGTTGCCACTCACATCCCTGAAGCCTGTGCTGGGCTGTGGGAATCTCCTAGGGACAAAGCTGAGATTTCTAAGAATCTTCCTAGATCAGGCCCTGGGGAGACACTGTGACAGCCCTCACAGTGGTAAGACAGACAGTAGAATTTCATGCTGAACATCACAGGCCCACAGCCTAGTGAGTACACAGTGGTCTGAAGCAAGTGAGGCCCCTAAGCCAATTTTAGTGTCCAATCACCGGCAGGGCCTCCCTGCTGGGGCTCATCCTGGAGCCTGGCTTTGAAACTCGCTGCCGGACATGGGACAGACTCTGCCCACAGCCCCTCTTTGGGGTAGGAGGACCACAGACTATGATTCCCAGGCCAGATTTGGACAACGCACACCCAGCTGGAGCCCTGCCAGCAAGTGGCTCCTGTTTCCTGAACACACAGGGGCCCTAGGAGTCCTTAGAAAACACTTCTCTGTAAGTTCAAAATCACAATAAAATAAACCAGCTGTGAGAAGAAGTCCAATGGTGCCAGCCTGCTCTGGGCTCTGTGAGCAAAGGGCCCTGGGCCTCACCAAATAGCCAGGGAGGCAGTAAAAGAAGCTTGGGCCCTGCTCTGGCAGGTTACACCCAGCCCAGAGACCCCAGGCAGTGCCTATGAATACCCAGGTGATGTGCAGACCCCAGAAGCATGGCAGTGTGAGGGCCACCCAGAGCAGACTAGGGGCAGGGCTGCCCACTCACATTTTTCATACGGAAGGACTGTTCCTCCAGCTTCTCCACGGCCAGGATATTCTCGATGGGGATGCTGCAGAGGGGCTGGTCTCCTGCCATGGAGAGAGGATGTGAGGAGCAGCCTCCGCTCCTGCTAGCCATGGGAATGGCAGGCTCTAGGCAGGAGGCAGGGCTCGGCTCTCCTATCCTGGGGCAAGATGGCCAAGAAGTCAAAATGCTGCTGCGAGTCTGGTCCCTATATCGGAGCTGCTGCCCTGGCTGCCCCCTGAACATGCACAGCAGTGGACAGAGAACAGGCCATACTTGTATGGGTTATGGACCCTCTTACTGAGCAGAGCCTGCCAGGTCAGCACAGCCCTCATACCCCAAAGCCCTGTTTACTCACAAGATACTGGGGTCACAGTGCTGGCCTGTGAAGCCAAGAGGAGGGTGGGCGGGAAGGACACAGTGGAGTGGACACGGTCCAGCTAAGGACAATGGGCTGGGACACTGTTATGACCAGGAGACCAGAAGATCCAGACGGGCAGGACTCATACCTTAGTCTGCTCTGCACTCCTGGTCCTGCAGGCAGTTTCCCACATGTCTGGGCAGCAGATACCCATCCAGGCAGCAGAGGGCCTGCTGCCTGAGGGGACCTTCCTTCCCTCCTGGACCGTCCCACGTCAGAAAAGCAGATGTCCACCCCACAGAGGCAGGAATGAGACTGTGTGAAGCCATGTGAGCTAGAAAGACTGTTCTCGTTACCTTTGCTTTTCTGGTAGGTGAACTCATGGTTAGTCAGGCGAAACCATCTTTTTTTAAAATTCTTCATCCCAAAGCGTTTTCTTCCTTGTGCTCTCTTAATCATGAACCTGGTATAAAAAGCACATGGTCAGCGACTGTCCTCTAGCTCCAACACATCACCCCAACCCTCCCCCATGGCAAATCCAACATAAATCCCTGCTTCCACACTTGAGACAGTCAGTGGATTTCCATATCCCAGCATTTTACTTCCCAAGTGACTAGATTAAAATGCTGAAGGGCAGATGCCTATCCTTTAACAAGTGCAGCCATTCTTCTGTGTTAACTCCAAATCACGAGTTGGTAATGACAGCAGGGCTTATTAGACCTCCACCCCACCACTTCCCACATGGGACTTTCCTCCATAGGTCAAGCAGCAGGAACCCGAGGTGCTTGCAGAGGATGTGCCTCAGCAGCACAGGGCCTCGGCGGGAACTGAACCCACACCTGGTGTGGTGAGGTCATGCTCCAGTGCCCTCAAAGAACCTGTCTCCCTCAAGGCCAGCCCTTCTGTGTGAACAGAGGGTCCATGAGGCCATGTCCATCAAGGACATGAGAGGCAGAGACCAGCGGTATTTCCAAAAGTTCCTCCCATGTATAGGAAGAGCCCACTGGGCACTACGAAACTCAGCTGTCATCATCATCAGTGTGGAGTCCTTTGCCAGGACCAGCAGCTGAGGAGCAGGAGAAAACAGGCAGGCAGAGTGTATGGCAGAGAGGAGGAAACAAGGCCAGACGGGCCATGCAGAGGTGCCAGGTGGGGAAGGTGACAGCCCAGACAGACAAGGCACATACCTGGGTTTAGAGCTCATGAACATGGATAGTGAATAAAGGAACCGCAACTGGGGAGATTTTACAAAATGTGGGCCAGAGAACCGTATTGGAAGGAACAAAGTTGCCCAAGAGCATGGCCACAGAGAGCACACCGATGACCCATGACACCACAGGCTCCCAGAGATCCACACACATGGGAGCTGGCAGTGAAGGGCAGTGGACAGCCATGAGCTCCTGCTGGCTCACTCAGAGCAGGTTCTGCAGCAGACCAGGAAGGTATTTAGAGCTCCACAGTGCCAACATCTATGAGGGTTAGATAATGCTTTGCAAAAGATCCTGGACCAATAAATTAAAGGGTAGAAAATCTTATCATAAATGGTTTTGGCTATAGGCTTTTAAGTAAAAAGCAATTTTCTCAGGGGGTTAAATGAACAATACTTTGTGTACTTTCTAGGATCTGCTGGCATGTTCTACAGCAGGGTCCTGTGGTCCTGAGCAGGGACAAGATGTGGTTCCTCCTGGAGGAAGCTCGAGGACCCACTCACTGCAAGATCGGTCCAGCCTCACTTACCGGGCTGGCTTTCTTAGGACCAAACACTGCCAAGCAGTGCAGAAAGCCTCAGCCTGAAAACCAAGTATATCTGTGCCTGGAAGTGTGGTTTATTCAACTCTGCAGACGCCTGCTAACTGCAGCCGTCTCCTGGTTCTGTGTCCTGGCAGATAACACTCAGAGCACCTGAGCTGAGGGCAACCCTCCTCAGCTCAGGCACAGACACTGCAAGATGAAAAGCGTCACCAAGGGTGCAACAACAGACCCAAGTCCCGGAGACGACACTGCAGGGCAAATACTCTGTTTGGGGACACTACAGGCTCAAGGTATAGTGAGAGAAGCCTTGATTCAGGGGCTGGAAACTTGAAGGTCTCAGTGGACCACAGTCCTGGCATGAGTTGAGCATAATGCAGCCACTGAAAAGAACCCAGCTTCATCTGGGTTCTGGGGGCCAAGGGATGCCAAGCCCTGTACTACTGGTCACACCTAGAACTTGTCACCTGTCTTTAACACTGTCTCTAAGCAGCCTCTCAATGTAAGGGGCAAGAGCAGCTGAGAGCACCATGTTATTCCGGGTTATGAGCTGAGCCAGGCAGGGCAGAGCCGTAACCAGGCCCCAGGACAGGTTGGCAGAACCAGGCTGACCCGACAGCTGGGTAAAGAAAGAGGTGTGTTCCAACACTCCAGGGCCCCCTGGAGGCCAAGGGTGGAGACACCGGTGGTCACATCTGCTGGGGAGGAACAGGGCTGAAGGCCTAGGGCCCAGGTTCCCAAGACTGCTCTGCTACTCTGGCTTCCTGCAAGAAGATCTCTGAGAAGTACAGGGAGAAGGGACCTGCTAAGATGTAGGTGTGGCCAGGCCATATGTGGGGGCCTCCAGCATGGGGTGACCCAGTAGCATCCCCAGACACCCCACTACTCTACAAGCCCCACCCATGTGAGGAATGGACAGGGGAAGCCACGCTGCTCCAGCCACAGCCCCTGGCCCTGGGTTGACAGACAGAAAGGGTCAGCTGCCCTGAGCTGCGGCCACTGTACCTCAAGGGGCAGAAGCCCTCCTGCACATCCCCTCTGGCCCTGTGAGCACTGGCTTACTCCTCCTGCATGTTCCCTCAGTCTAGTGTGTGCTGGTTCACCACTCCCATGTGTCCCCTCCAGCCCAGGGGCTGCTAGCTTACCCCTCTTTGAGCAGGATAGGCTGCTCTATGCTTTTAGGGTCTCTTCTTCCCGAGGATGAAATCAGATCCAGAAACTGAGGTGGGAAAGTAATCCAACCATTAGCAACAGCCGCCCAGGTACCATCTCCTCACACATGACAGTCTCGGTTCTCCCTCCTTGGACACCAACGTGCAGAGAAGAACTCGGGGAAGGGATCCTTCTGTAAGGACTGTGGGGCTGGGACTGGCCTCCATGTGCCAGCCACTGCACTGACTCAGATGCAAGGCACCAGGCATGAGGCTGGAATTCAGGTAACACCTGAAATCCACCTGCAGCCCACAGATGAGCTGCATAGGTCTCTCCAGGGGAGTCAGATCTGGCACATCCCAGTCCATGCAAGGCCGCTGGGCACCCAGTGTGGGTGGGTAGGGGGCCTCACTGACTTGCTCGGACTCCTGGCCTCTGCTAACAGCTGCTCTGAACACCAAGCCTTCCTCTCCTCAGAGTCTGTGGCTTCTGTGATTTATGATGGAAACACTCAGGGCTGTTCGAACCGCAGAGTGAAGCAGAGCACTGAAACCCAGCCCATTGCCATGGCTGTGGCCCTGAGTCTGGGAGTGGGTGGGCATGGCCATGACACACGCAGGTGCCTCACAGGCAGCTTGGACGAAGGGGCCCAGACACCAGTGTGAAGGGTCCACAGGGGGTGAGGGGTAGTCACTTCAAAGAGCCAAAGCAACTCAGGGCATAGAGAAGGTGACAGGGCTGGGCAGGGGTTGTGAATAGACCAAATGCACTGAAATGTTTGACTTACTATAGGTCAGTTTTGTGTTAGACCAATTTCACTTTGACTTAAAAGGAGCAAGGTTGTTTCTTGGGACCTAGGCATGACACGAGTGGAGATGGCAATTAATAGTCATGGATGTGATCACTCACGTTTTTCACGGCATCCGCATATTTTTGCTCATTGAAGAATTCATAGAACGTAGCCATGTACGACTCCTTAAAACTGGCCTAAAATGAAATGGTTCACATGATGAAGGCCTAGAAGTGCCTCAGCTCATGTAGCCTGACCCTAAAAAGGCCAGAGGCTGGAACTTGGAGGAGCCAAGACTAATAATTAAGCAACTGGAGACCAGAAACTGCCGGGTGAACAGCTGGGAGCCTACAGGCAGCCTGGGTTCTGGGTATAAGCTGAAGTACAGTGACTGCATGTCTCCCGGCAGGGCTGTCACAAGATACTAGGGGCTGGGGGCTCCTGGGAGGTGAAGGGCCACCCTGAGCAAAGCCACTAGACTGGGAATGGCTCCAACTTCTGTGGCTTTCATGGGGCAGTTTCCTGGTATAAAATGTAGTGGGCTGGGTGCAGGCCCTGGACCGGCAAGGGGGCCCTATTCATGTGGCGCCCAGCCTACAGTCTGGGATGGCTGGGGGCGGCCATCAGCACCCTGCCTGCCTGTGCACATGAGTGCCTTTCATGGACTGCTTTGGGGAAACTGAGGCTCCCCAAGGAAGCCACGCACTTCTCAGGGTGGGACCCTGAATCCCTCCGAGGCCCACAAAGCTCTGAGGATGGAGAGCTGGGAGGGGCTATGCAGATCACCCTCTAGCCCTTTCCAAACGGAACCTCAAGGAGCAACCTGTAAGCCTCCTCTGCTTGCAGAAGCCCCACTGGGACTCTGCTGATGAGACAGTCTCACAGAGGAGTGCTCTGGGGAATAGGAAGCCTAGGGCAGACCCTTGGGAACCCTGGCCCAGGCTAAGGTGACAACCCAGGGCAACTGCAGTGGCTGCCAAAAAGGCAACCAAGGCTGCTGGACACCCAAGTCCACCCCCTACTCCCTTCAGCACAAACGTCCTTGATGCCCAAGTAGGGAGGCCACCTAGCTTACTGCCACGGGGACATGCAGGAGCTGGCCCATTCGTGATGTGCACTGACTAAGGCTCAGCCACCATCACAGCCGTGGTCAGAGGTCAGAGTATAGCTGCCCCCGTAGTGAGCAATGTGCTGCAGGCTCTCAAAAATGCAAAGAATTTTAGTTCTGGAGGGCAAAGAGGCACCCGGATGGTGATAGAACATTCTGTTTCTTAAGCTGGTTGGTGGGCATGTGAGTCCAGCTTTTATTATTATTCTTTATCCTCACTATTTACACAGAGAAAGAAATCCATGTGTTCTTAAAAGGAAAAAATGAAGAGAATAAAAGACTTACCGACTTTGACTTAGATAAGCTGCCGAGAGTCTGAATGGTCTTTGAAATAAGGGTCAGGGTCCTAGATGTCTGTGGGTCCTGTTGAAGCAGGGAAAGCAGGGAAAGAGAAAAGTGAGTTTTGTTCCAGTTTTGTAGAAATGTAGTGATTGATCCCAGAGTCACAGGGAACAAAATGAACATCACCCCTAACAGGGGCTATGGCTCGAGACAGGGAGGGTCTGTCAGTGGCCGCCTCAGGAGCTGCCTCCAGACTCATGAGCCATGTCCCTGTGATGGACCAGAGCTGCTGCGGGAACACCGAAGCCAACGTGCCAGAGCAGCATCTTGAAGTCAGAAATGTTGCATGGGGGTCCTGCACCTCCCAGGCTCTTGTGCTAGCTTCACACTCTGCCTTCATGCAGTTTGGAAGGTTTAATAGAAAACCAATGAAGAATGGGCTCTTCTTCCACCTCTGCCATCAGCCTGTCACTATATATTACCCGCACAGGATGTCCACTCCACAAATGCTTTGTCCCAGAAGCCAGCAGGCAGCAGGCACACAGCAGGTGCCAGGTGGATGTCTGCTAACTGACTGGGTGACGGCATGAGGACACAGACACTGCAGATACTCCCCTTTCCACGAGGAGGGAAAACATAATGACCCACAGCTAAAATGCTGCAGACATCATCCTACTATGCTTTTAACAAAATGATCCCTCCCACATGTAGTGATGAGAGTAGATATAGGTGGCGGCGCAGGGACCAGACATATCCACCCTGACCCTGTACCCCACAGCTGCATAGCACTAAGACTGGGAGGCACCCAGACAGTCTACCAGGGTCACCAGGACTTCTGATCACCAGGGCTAGCTGGTCATCAGAACTTTGGATCACCAGGACTTGCTGGTCACAAGGGCTAGATGGTCACCAGGACTAGTTGGTCAGCAGGACTAGATGGACTCCAGGACTAAATAGTTACCAGGGCTAGATGGACACCAGGACTAGCTGGTTACCAGGGCTAGATGGACACCAGGGCTAGCTGGTTACCAGGACTTGCTGGTCACCAGGGCTAGTTGGTCAGGGCTAGATCGTCACCAGGACTTGCTAGTCCCTGCGCTGGCTCTATCTTACCGTGTGGTGAGGCGTGAGCTGGAAGAGGTTGGGGGAGAGAATGGCTGGAGCGAAGAACCTCAGGAAGATGAAGCTGCTCACGGCAGTGAACCTCACATCCACGTCATCTACACCCAGGGAGAGAATGGCTGTTTCCACAGCAGGGATGGCAGCCCTGTGGGCCTTGTCACCTATGTCCTAGCCCACCCAAGGCACTCACCATGAAGGATGGACTATAGTCCAGTGTCTGCCTCTCTTTACGTCTCCATCTCTGTGCCACTCTCTCTGTTTGTCTTTTCTTCTTTGTCTCTAACTCTGTGTCTGTCTCTATCTCTGTCTCTTTCTGTTTCTTTCCCTGTCTCTATGTCTGTTTCTCTCTCTCTCTTTCTGTCTCCTTCTATCTGTACCTCTCTGTCTCTTCTCTGCCCACACTGCATGGCCACCCTTGGTAGCTGGACTGTCACAGACATAACCTCACTTGCCAGGCCCTTGTGGTGGGGACTTCCTCCTGGGGGTTTGCTCACCTCTGGGGAGGGAGGACAGAGCTGACTCATTCTCTCCCATTTCACAGTGGGCCTGGCACCTGGCCACAGGGGGAGCCAGCTCCCTCTGAGGACAGGATGTCCTGTCCACTGAGCCCATGGGCTGCTCTGGAGGCTTCTGCAGCTGTTGCAGTGCCAGCAGGACACACCTCAGCCATTTATAGGCTCCCCAAAGAAGGGAGGAGCAGGAAGGAGCAGGAAAGAGGTAGGCAAAGTCTGTGCCTCTGAGGAGAGAAGCTTCAGACCTGCTGTCCGACCTGCCCTGGCCTGTCCTGCCCAAGGAATTGCAGGGCTTAAGAGCAGGGCTCCAAGTCACAAGAGTCATCTGGCTCCAGATGGTCACACAGTGAAACCCGTACCCAAAGGCATCAGATTCTCCATGAAAACACACTGGGTGGAGTTTAAGACACGGCCCACACCTGCTGTGCTCAGCTGCAAGAGGCCTGGCTTCTTGGGCCTGGGTTAGGAGCCAGGTGCAGTCATGAACTGGGTACACTGGTCATGGGCATGGACCCCATAAAACCCAATGTTGAGCTCTGGTCTGACAAGCACCATCCTACAGCTGCTGGGTGGTTGGGCAGAGGGTGGGAGTTCCCAGGGTGATGAAGGGAACTGCAGTTATTTCTTAGCAGCACAAGCAGGTCCACAGAACACTCACCTTGGAAGCGCTTGGCAGCTGCCTCTCGGAGGGAAAAGAAGATGTCACACATGACGGTTGGGCAGCTGACCCCAGATGTGGTGATGGCATGGAAGATGCGGTCCACGTACTGTCTCAGGTTCTCCTGCAACGGGCACAGGAGGACCCACCAGGGGCCTGGGACCCAGGCTCTCCCTGGGCCACAGTGCTGGCTGCCAGGGCCACATCCAAGGGAGAGAGGGAGTCTCCTGGGGTCAAGGACAACTCAGGGAAGCCATGGGAGCAAAAGATATATTTACCTGATGTTTATAAAAATCTAACCTTCCTTTCAAACAGTACTGAGGAGATATAATAATTTATGTAGTATAAATATTACTCTCTGGTGTCTGCAGAACCACAGAGGGTCCCTCTCCTTGACCCACTAATAAGTGTAGAATGAAATTCACTAGAAAACCCTTCCACAGGGGCAAGAATTGTTCTTTTATTTAAAGGTAGGACCAAACACCATGTGATCTGCACGAGGAAATCATAAAAAAGAAAACTAAAATGCTGGGAGGAAGTTAAACATCAGGGAATTTTGCTGGGAGTGGTGGCTCACACCTGTAATCCCAGCACTCTGAGAGGCCAAGGCAGGTGGATGGCCTGAGCTCACTGGTTTGACACAAACCTGAGCAAAAGCGAGACCCTGTCTCTAAAAATAGCTGGGTGTTGTGGCAAGCACCTGTAGTCTTAGCTACTCAAGAGGCTGAGACAAGAGAATCTCTTGAGCCCAAGAGTTTGAGGTTGCTATGAGCTGTGACACCATGGCACTTTACTGAAAGTGACATAGTGAGACTCTGTGTCAAAAAAAAGAGAGAAAAAATAGAGAACAGAACACAGTTCCATGAGCAGACTGAGGTGTCTACCTCTCCAAGGAGGCAGAAGATGACGGGCTAACGGCCGTGCAGGCCACATCTGGCCCAGCACTCCCCCCACCGATCCAGGACTGAACAGCCTCCACACAGCCTCAGGCTGAAAAGCCCCTACAAGGGCTGTTGGTAAAAACCTCTCTTACCATGTTGTTTTCGAGGTTTTCACCATCTTTTAACTTCACAGGGTCGATCTCACAAGACTTGTGGCTCTGGCATATCTGGAGGCAGCATTTAAAACAGGCTCTGTGAGGAAAGCTCTGGGGCCAGGCAGGAGTAGGGGGCAGTGGTCTGTTCAAAAAACTGCTGTGGAGCTCCCCTGCGCCCAGCCGCCAGCACCGAGCAGGTACCACATTGGGGCGGCAACTGGCCCATGACCCAGCTATGTGGGAGACACCCTGGTACCCACCCCACAGTACCCGACAGACAAGTGAGATGTCAACAGCAAAAATACCAGGTAGGGCATGCAGCCCTTGCTGCTACCAGACACATGGGACCTTCTTAGAGAGTGACCCATGTTAGTTCATGAGGGACCAGGCTTCCTGAGATTTGCTAATATTTTCACTTCAAGGTGCTACAATGACTTTGCCTACAGATAAATCAGAATGCTATTTTATATAGCATTTGGAAAGGGCATGGTTTTTATGAAACTATTCTGGGGAATAATGCCTGACACAACATCGTGACAAGGGGTCTGGTGAGGAGCACTGGGCCATATGAAAGAGAAGTATGTGGTCAGAGTGTGCTGGCAGCCAGTGCCCTGGGCAGGGACAAGGCTCCAGGCCTGCAGTAGTGGACATCATGTAGCTGCCAGGCTCAGGGGAGCATGTGGAGAAAGATGGTGTCCCTGGGAAGAGCCAGGTTTTTGTGGGGTGTCCTTCTGTGTTTAGCTGAATGATAGATTTTCTCAAATATTTTTTATTTGACAAAACAAGGAAGATTCTGGAATATACATAGAACATCCTCTCCACAAAAGCTAACAAAATGGTGTCTGCTCCCTGGCCCACCCTCATGGAGTCTGCACCCCACCCCTAGAGGCAGCTCAGCTGGCTGGCGACCCACCTCCTCGATGGCGGGCTTCAGGGTGACATGTAGGTAGTGCATACCCGCCAGTTTCATCGTCTCGTCAATGCACTTGGACGTTAGCGAGTTTCCACGGAAAATGGTGTTGGGGTCCCTGAGAAAAAGTTTTGGGGGCATTTGTCTCCCTGTGATGCCAAAGCTCTTGTGGGAGCAGAGCCTGACCCTGAGCATTCAGTTCTGGGACATGGAGACAAGGGCTTAGATGGGTCTGCTTTGGCAGCTTCACCAGGAGCCCAGGCCAGGGAGGCATTCAAGGCACTGCCCACAGCATGAGCTCCAGATCAACAGGGGCAGGTGCAATAGCACCCATGTTACCAACTGATTCCAGACACATACTGGCCCTTCCATCCTGTCACCTTGCCCCTCTGAAGTGCTGAGGAGCAGAGGTTGAATGGCCAGCACATAGGCCCTCCTATGCCTTCTAGGTCCTGAGGAAATAGGGCCCATTTGTAGCCCTGGACTGTGCATGTCTCTCAAAGGGAAACCTGAGGTACCTTCAGTGTGGACGTTACTGTCCCTGAGTCCCTGCTCACCCCTCCCACTCAGGGTTTCCAAGAGAAATGGGGCTTTTGATAAAGTCCACAAATGTGCCTGAAAGAAAACTGACTACATGCACAGGGAGCCCCCCACCCACCTTGGCCAGGCACTCACTGGGTCCTCTGCACCTCGGCACTGGCAATGGCACAGATGAAGGGCACCACCCTGCCCGCATGCAAGAGGAGCCGCACCAGTGGCACCGCTGCCTCCTGCTTCTCCCTGCACACCTCGCCCAGGATGTGGGCTGCTGACGCCGAGACAGGCTGGGGACAGGGACAGGGCCAGTCACCATGGTGGCAGTCAGGTCATCCCCAGGGACCCTGACCCCCCACCTCATGCCGTGGAGACAGAAATACACACAAGTCACTTAAGCTCATGTAAACACCTCTGCCTCCTACCCCAGCCCCAATCCTGGCAGCACAAGGCCCATGAGCCCAGGGACCCCTGGCTAGGGCCACACCCAAGGCAACTGGGAGGTTCCCAGCACCGCCAGGTTCCCAGTGTGCTAACTCCACAGCAAAGGGAGCCAAGCCACCTAGGTGTGAAGGGCCAGGCCTGGTGCATGGGAAAACCACCCACTGGGAGGGGCCAAAGGGTGCTGAGCCAGGCAGGTAGGCAGGACTAGGCAAGGGGCAGGGCCTCAGGGGGTGAGGTCTCAGGGGAGGTGGCAAGTCTTCTGGGGGTTGGCTGTGCAGATAGACTAGGGTGGGTCACCCATACCCAGAGGTTTTGCAGCTGAACACAGGCCATCCAGCTCAGACAAATACCTCCACATCTGCAGACTTCAGCAGCAGCTCCCGTAGAGGGCTATAATAGTTGGAGGAAAACACATGGTCTTCGGTGTATACCACATTCAGTCTCAGAGACCCCAGGTCATCTGGCTTTGGGCTCTTACTGCTGCTGTCCCGGGGCTGGAGGAAGTACCTGTGAGGGAAGGACATGGAAGACGGCAGGCTGGGGCAGGGTCCCTTCAGTGGGGTGGGCTAACCTCTCCAGGCAGCCCAGTGGCCTCTGTTGGGATGGTCACATGTCGGCGTCTGAGGCAGGTGGCCAGGGTCACAGGATCTGGTCACCTGGAGTATGCCCAGGGCAGTTTACTATCGGGCTGATGAGGAGCAGAGGTGGCAGAGGGACAGGGAAGAGTCTGCTGGGAGATGCACACAGGGGTCAGAAAGGATGCAAAGAGCAGAACAGAATTGAATTATCTGAAATTGGTGTGGGGTGGCTTTTGATGTCAGAGGGAAAGGTGACCTTGTGCTGATAGGCCAGACCACCCACCTGGGCACACTGTCCCTGGGGCCGTGTTCTCTGATGGCTACTTTTCAATCTTTGATCTACCCAGGACAGTCACCCTGGAACCACAATGCTCTGACAGTACTAGTCAGGCAGTGTGCAACCTCAAATGGTCAGCACTTGTGCCTGAGGCACTTGGCCACCTGGGTCCTCAAGGGCTGTCTGTGGGCTGCACAACCAAGGGCTCAGCACAAGCAGAGAACTGCATTTGACTGGGGCCCATGCTGTCACATATCCCACACCCTCCCAGCAAAAGGAAAGTGCCATGAGCATGATCACAGAACACTGGAGCTGTTGGATGTGCTGTGTGTCTGTCAGGGAAGCCGTGGCCTAAACAAACAGAGGCCACTCTGAACCCAAAACATGACTCCCTAGAGAAAACAGAATACCAGGGTACAGCTGCAGAGATGTCCCCATGGCTAGATGCAAGAAGTGGAACCCCCCATCACATGGTCCTGCCTACTGCACTCAGCAAAGGATGTAGAGGAAGGTGTGAATGCAGCCCTGGGCAGAGCCTGCCATGAGGCATGGACTTTGTCTGCTATGCCCTGCCAGCTGTCACCCCTGGTAGGTCGCCCCAGAGCTATCTCACAGATGGAGGAACCCTTTCACCCATCTCCCGCTCTTTGCTTCAGGGCTCTCACCATCATGGCCCACAGTACTCGGTGACCATGGGCTACCTGCTCATCAGCACCCCAGAGCCAGGCATATCACAGCATGACAGCAGGCAGGCACCAGAAGAGTGACTGGTGGCCTCAAGCCTCTTTGCTCTGCTACCTGGAGGTGGCCCCACTGATGGGCATCTCTCTGGCCAATGCTGCTCCTTACCAGGCCTTATAGCAGCTAGACTGGCGCAGGACTCGGAGTGGGATCCTCAGCTCTCCCAGAAACTCATCTCCAAACTTCAAGTTGCTGGCATTCCAGAGGTCGACTCTAAAAGTGACATAAGGCAGCTCTTATCAGGGAGAGCTGTAGGCGGGGCCTGGGCAGGGTGGCTACCTGGAGGTCCCAGCTGAGCTAAAATACACCAAACAAGTGGTCCCCATGTGATGGACACACAGAGTCCACGCCCACCTAGAAGCATATGGCCCAGCTCAATGACAGGACAGACCCACTGGACACTGCTGCAAGGCCAGCAGGGACCCAGCTGAGGCTCCATTGCTGCCCTTGGGGCCCAGGAATGGCAGCTGCAGTCCCCCTCGGAGACCAACTGGCCAGGTCAGAACCCTGCATGGATGATGCAGGCACCTGGCCCAGCTGAGAGCACCCAGAAGAGATAGTGCCTCTTGAGTGACCAGGAGCCCTGGCCCCGTATCACACAGAGACATGCCTCCCCCAATCACAGAGGGACTAGTCCAGGAACAGCATACCCATGGGCTGTGGCTGGGTCTCAAGGGAACCTTTATGAAGTTTAGCTCCCTGTAAGAGCACCCAGAGCTCTGAGGAGCCTGGCAACTTCCAGCTGCTCTGTCCCCTCAGATCTGACAGACACGGGAGCTAACCAGCCTGTAGGGTGGTTGTCCCACAGTTAGGGCCTCTCCAGCTGCCACTCACAGAGCTGAAGACCCAGCAGGCAGATCTAACCACACCTGGCAGTGGCAGCACTGTCCAGACACTTGCCAGTCCTCTATCCCTGCAAATCCCTGCACCTCTCGAGGACACCTGGCCCTAAAGGAAGTGGGTCTACACTGCAGGCATCAGGAAGCCCCCAGGTTTTGCACCAAAGGCCAGCCTTAGATGGCTGTAGCAGGAGCTGAGCCCTCCCCAGCTGGCCGACTCCTCCCCCTGGGCCCCATGCTCTGCCCCAGAAGTGCTGGCCCCAAGAGTGTGAACAGCCATTTGACTGGAAGCCCTTTAGAAAACCACCTAAAAAAAGCAGGTGCTTCCTGGCAGAGATGAGGAAAGCAGGGGGCAGAGCTGCTTGGCAGTGCCCACATTGTGCATGAAGGACTGGCCAGAGTCTAGAAGTGTTAGTTGGTCAGAAGCAAATGGGAACCATGATATTTTCATGAGTATAGGCCCCACCAAAGTCTAGGAAGGGACTCCTGGGGCTGCCTTCCCCAAGACTCTAGTTGGCTTCTGCCTCCTTCCATGGTCCTCCCTGGAAGACCTGGGTTCTGTGACATGCCTTGGCAGACCAGGACAGTGAATGCAGGGTCAGACACAGCTGTTTATGGAAGCTGGGGAGGCATCTCCTGAGGGAACAGCACTCACAGAGGCACTACCAGACCTCCAGGCTGTGCACATAGGCGCCAGAGCCAGATCCCACCAGCAGCTCTGACAAGTGTGTGGCCACTGATGCTCCACCTCATAGGCACTGAGTGACAGCAGCCGTTTGCCCCTCACTCTTAGAAGGTATCACAGAACAAACCCCAAGCCCAAGCCTGCCCATCTGTATAGTGTCTTTTCAATCCAATGTCCAAACATCTGAGAAGTTTGTGACAAATCCTCCTACTTCTGACCACAACCTCCACTGTCCTAGTATTGAAATTACTGAGGAAATAGAAATCTACTTCTGCCCATAACCATCTTTTAGAAACAACAGAAGACCAGATGGGGCTCAGACGGAACCACCCAGCAGGAGCCCTGCCTGGCCTCTCACACACCTGATCTCCAACTTGTCCACATCTTCCTCTTCAAAGTCAAAGTGTGACTTTTTGCTGTAGCTGCAGGGTCTAGTCACCTGCAGTAGAGGAGAGAAGCAGTCAGGCCACTTGCCAGAGAGGGGCAGCGGCCAGACGGGGTCGTGCTCCCCACTCACTCAGCAGGAAGGGTAAGGGGGACTAGGAGTCAGGCCTAAGTGTGGGAGTTGCTGCCACTGTCTGCTCACAGCACTCTGAGGGGCCAACTCCAGGGCTCTGAAGGCCGGGCAGGAACTTGCCTGAGGCCACATCTAGCCCAGGCTATGGCTGGTTCTCAGTCAGCAGGTACCCAAGCTGTCCCTTGATTCGAAGCTGCCCTGGGACAACTCTCCCTGTCTGGCAGGTCCCAGCCCTTTGTTCCTAATGCCCTCAATGGCCCCCTCCTTGCAGGGAAATACCCATGGCTAGACCCAGTGTCAGGTGGCTGTGACCGTCCCCTGGCTTCTGGGGAAGGGTGAGAAAGCCTATGGGGCTAGGACACCCCATCTGCCAATAGGGCACAGGCCGCAGCACCTACCAGCAGAGGCCTAGATGAACCCACCTACTTCTAATTGTCTCCTAACCCTCACCAACCAGTGAGGTCACCTGGTGTATATGAGGAGGGCTCCCTCCTGCCTGGCCTCCCCTACCCACCCATTTCAGTAATGTTAATTTAGGGGAGGCTGAGGCAGCAGCATCGCTTGAGCCCAGGAGTTCAGGGTGCAGTGAGCTGCTGTAATGAGGCCCCTGTACTCCAGCCTGGGCGATAAAGCAAGACCTTGTTTCTTATTCTCTTATATAAAAAAAAGAAAGAAGAAAGGAAAGTTTCAGCTTGGACTTCTAATCCAGAATCTGACACTTACTCCTGCTGCTTAAATCACAGAACCTCTAAGCTGTGACTTTTTGACCAAACACCAGCAACAGCTGCTTTGGAGGCCACAGTGAACCCTCCATACCTCATCCCTAGCACTACCCCATCTCATAGTAGCTGCCTCGGCAGGGGCCATCTGACCCCCACATAGCCACCATCCATTCTGACTCCAAAACCCTGAGCCCCACCAGCGCTGTCTCTGCCTCTGGCTAAAGTTTCTCTTCCCACAGACACTCCCAGAACCCACTACCACCACGCAGCACTACCTAAGGCTGCAGAGTGAGCCCGTCACTCACCAGGCCTGCAAGTGTTCCTACAAGGCCACCCTCTCTAGAAAGGCCCACTCTCTGTGCAGCACAGTGCGGTCACCATCTGCCTCCCATACTGGTCAGCAAGATGGCCATGGCCTTGTCTGCTGCCTCCCACCCATGTACCTGTCGTCTCCAGACCAGGCAGTGAATGAAGCAGCTCATATGGAATTCAAAATAATTTCATTTAGATGTTTAAGGGGCTTTTGAAAAGTCTAGTTGTTTTTCCTAGAAGAAAATGTTCTGGAAGCTACTTCCATAGACATAGAAGGTATTTTTCCCTTGTTTGCTCCAGAAGGAGGTGGCAGTTGGCTCTTGGGACACACTTTCCTGGATGAGTCAGAACCAGCTGGGGGGTACCCGACCATGGCTCCAACTTGCTCTGAGTCTTCACATTAACCCAGGGGTGATAAGATGCAGCAGAAACACACACAACGGAGACAGTGGGGCCCCAGAGAACAGCAGGTGTGGACCCTGTGCCCGCAGACCTGGCTCTCCAACCCTTCTCACAGCTACCCCCACCCCAATGTGGGCTGTGCCAGGAATAGCCTGGGGGCCATGCAGTCTTGGATCCAGGACTCATGGGACAAATCTTAAAGTCTCTGGCCAAGAACTGCCCCCACCCAGATGATACAGAACAGGTGGCACACCAGCCAGCTGAGCTGAGCTGAGCTAGAGGACTGTCCACCTCGGCCTTAGCGGTGTTGGTGTGGCAGTGGCAGCAGCCGGCAGAGGAACCAGCAGGCTAGAGGGTAAGCTGCTGCCTCCCACTCGTGTACTTGTCAACTAGAGTCCCCCCCTTATAGGAGGAGACTCTAGTAGCCAGAGGGGCCAGACAACTTCTGGGGAGACACCGGTGCCTTGGTGTCTCCTTCCCCTTGCACTTATGACTGAACAGGAACCCCCATTTCCTATGCTTAGGTCAATATCATGTAAGTTTTCTAGGCCTCAATTCTGTGAATGAATTGTGTCCATACATTAATATATTCATTCACTTTGCCCCAGGGGAAGGGACTGTATTCATTCATTAATGCACTCATTCACCATGCAGGCAGAAAGGACTGTATCCATTCATTAACTGAGTTCTGGCCCCATGCCACTAAATGTTAACAACTAAGTTCTGGCCCTAAGTCGCTAAATGTAACAACTGAGTTCTGACTGAATGTAACTTTGAAGACCCAGGGATAAATATAAAAATTGAATGTAACAACTGATGTCCTGCTAAATAATCCCATGTGACTACATATACCCCTGAGCAAAGAGCCCAGAGAGAGGCAGAGAGAGGGAATGAGAGACTTGTTCCCCAAACTGGGTTCTCTCTGCCAGAAGCTTTGGTGTTTTTGTATTCTTTTCTTTTCTGTAAATAAATCCTGTCTTACCACTGATCTGTGGTCCATGGATTCATTCTCCAAATCACCAAGACCAAGAACCCTTGAAGACAAAACTCTGGTATCACAGACACTCAAGGCTGGAGGGACCCTGAGGCTCCTGCTGACCTGCTTTGGCACCACCACCTTCTTGCCTAGAGGTAAGTTTCTTCTGGGACTGAGATGGCTCCTCCCTGTGCCATGGGCTCCAACTACCCAACCCTCTGAACAGCTGTCCAGAAAGGCGGGCCCCGCCCTCACAGCTGGGAACCCTGTGGGTTCAGATGATAAGAGCAGTGCTCTGCAGAAGGCCGTCTCAACCCAGCTCTCCATATTGTCTCAACACCTACATGTGGCTGGTGCCTCCTGTCCCCAGGCTATCCTCATCCTTGTGCACATAGGTAGCCACTCTGTGGACGGGCACAAAGGCCCTCACCCTCATCTCCTGGGCCTCATACATGTTACCTAAGAGAACTCTGCAGACAGGAAGATCACCATGCACACGTGTCACACTGCTCACAACCAAGCCAGCTCTCTTTACTCGCTTTTTGCTTTTTGGAGACAAGGTCTTGCTCTATGCCCCAGGTTGGCAGGCAGGGGCCTCATCCCAGCTCACTGAAGCCTGGAACTTCCGGTTCCAGTGGTCTTCCTGCTGCAGCCTCCTTAGTTGGAGGAATCACAGGCCTGAGCCTGCACACCTAGCTGAGTTTTGTGTTTTTGTGGAGACAGCGTCTCATTCAAGCTGGCCTTGTTCTGTTCTAAGAACTCTCAGCTCTTGAGCCATTCGACTCCTAGTGTTGGAGTTTCATGTTCGGAGACATGGTCAGGGTGACTGGTCTGTGCTGCTGCCCTCATCCCTGGTAACCAGTGCCACAGTGCTCAGGGAGGCATGAGCAGACAGCCAAAAACGCAACATGAAAAAAGCAATGAAAAACCCAAGAGTCCTGATTTGGAAAGCATTAGTTTGTTAGTTTTCTTTCTTTTTTTTTTTTTTTGAGACAGAGCCTCAAGCTGTCCCCCTGGGTAGAGCGCCGTGGCATTACAGCTCACAGCAACCTCCAACTCCTGGGCTCCAGCGAGTCTCCTGCCTCCACCTCCCAAGTAGCTTGAGACCACAGGCGCCCGCCACAACGCCAGGCTATTTTTTGGTTGCAGCCGTCATTGTTGTTTGGTGGGACCGGGCTGGGGATTCGAACCTGCTACCTCAGGTGTACGTGGCTGGCGCCTTTCGCGGGTTGAGTTATAGGCGCCGAGCCAGTTTGTTAGTTTTCAACCCAAATTTGGGCCAGTTCAAGAGGCAACAAACATGCTTTCCAGAGAGAGGAACAAGGTCCTAGAAAACTGTGGGGGGTCTGGATCCCCAGGACCCCCAACGCCGCTGCTGACAGCTTCAGACCACCCAGCTTCAGACCTCCTGCCCAGTGCAAAGCATTGACCTCAAAGTAGAAGACCTCATCAAACTGGGGGTTGTTGGTCTTCTTCTTCACCTTTGTCTTCTTTGCTTCAGATCTGTCAAGAGAGGGGAATTTAGAGTCAGACACATGCTGATTCCAACATCTAGGTCTGAGAACTGAGCCCTCAGGTACAAGAACAGTTCACTGCCTTATTTAGCATATAGATATTTGTCTGCTTCCAGCTCTATACTGTGTGAAAAAATACCCAAGGGAGGAACACAAAGGCTTTCTTTGTAAAGAACAACTTTAGAACAATAAAGGAAACAAAAGGTGTCAGTTATACCTCCCACCTCAAAGCAGTCCTCCCCATGACCAAGGCACCAGCCCCATCCCAGGACCAGGGCACCCGAGGCAGGAGAGTTAACTTGCCTGAATGGTCCTGCCAATGTCACAATGGCATAAGGGTCACACTGCCCATTCACAATGGGGAGACCTTGGCACTCCACGATGCTGGGAGGCAAACAAGGGAAATAAGTCAGCGGGGAGTGGGCAATAGGCTGAGGGCAGAGGTCAGGGTAACACAGGCCACAAGTTGAGGGCAGAGGTCAGGGTCACAAGCTACAAGCTGGCCTGAACCAGCCTCTCTCTGGCTCAGGCGAGGAGGATGAGTTTCCTGAAAGCTGCTGTCCACGTGGAGATGACGGACTCAAAGCAGCAACCAGGACAGATGGGGGGACTGTGTGGGGAGGGAGGAGCTGGGCAGGTGGCACCAGGGTAGCAGCCAGTTGGGGAGACTCAATTATGTGACCTCTCCACCCCCTTGCAGGCTTTTCCTGGCAGAGCCTTAGGCACTGGCTTCCACGAAGCCGCACAGCACTCTGCAGCCTCGCACATCTCTAGCACCTCTGAAGCGGGTACAACGTTCAGTCCCTTCTGCAGGTGCAAAACAGAGCCTGTGTGTGACCTGCCCCCCAGGGGCCAGACACCCATTGCAGGCGAGGCACCGGCTGCGCTGGGCCATCATGCTCTTTACATTCTGGACCCAGTTGCAGCTTGTCTTGACATCCCTGCCTGGTGATTTCCACCTGCCGTCCTGGGCCTGCTTCTACCCAGTATCCTTCCGTCCCTGGGGCTGTCAGCCACGCTTCCCACTTTTGGGCACATCTAGATGTCATAAGTCTCAGGTCACATGATCAGATCTCACTGTCACCCTGTGAAGGTGCCAGGTCACTGTGGTCAGGTTGGCCACTTCAACTATGCTTTCAGCTTTGCTGGGGGAGACACAGGAGCCCCTACCCACAGTGCAATCTGGCCCTGACACAATAGCCAGAGACCCTGTGCTGTAAGTGCCCCAAGAGGTTGCCTGGCTCTCCCCAGGAGGCTCAGACATCTAGCCCAGTGATGCTTAAAATCCCAGTGGCAGTGGCTCATGCCACATGTGCTCTGGGAGGCAGCTGTTCCTCAGATCTTGCCCTCAGTGCCAACTGATCCCTTGCCAAGCCCACATGGCCCCCACCCCACTATGTTAGGAACCTGCCCCCTGGGAGCCCTGTGGGTAGAGGTTTGGCATGTTTGCATCTTTTCCTCAAGGGAACACAGCCAGCCCTGGAGTCAGTGTGGAAGAAGTCCCTACACACATGAGCCAGCTCTCAGCAGTCTGTAGCTATGAGGATTTCCAGCTGCTGCCACCCCTCCCAGATAGCTTGGCTGCTGGCAGGTGTGTCCAGCTGTTGCCCCTTTCTGAATATTTTCCTGGAATTTTGGTGTGAGGGACTTGTCTCCTCATCCCGCCAGCTCATGGGAGCCTTGCTGCTCCTATACTGAGGATGTTTTCCTTGAATTTCCTCTTCTCTCCATTTCTGTGCCATTTTTTCTTCTAGAAGTCCTCTTGGATGAGGCTGGACCTCCCAGACTGCACCATCATCTCTGTGCCTCACCCAGTGCCTCTCTGTTCTCCAACTAGACTGCTCTCTCAGCCTCTGGGTCTCCACCTTCTCTTCACTGACACAGCCTGAACTACCCTGGCCACATCTCAGTGCTATTCTGAGCAGGACAGAGCAGGAGCAGGTCCAGAGTGGCCCCATGGAGCTCAGGCTGGCCTGGCTGACACATGGACCTAATCCAGATGGCAAATGACCCCAGATCATCACAAGTGGTGGCCAGGGCCTCTGGGCAGCTTGGCCTGAGAGTGCAGCTCTAGACAGACAAGGCTGCTTAGGGGCTGGGGGCCTATACCTCACCTTGTCCATGGGTCTGAGTCCCATGGAAATGTGTCCTGAGGAGAGGCAGCTGATCAGGTAGTAGGATGAGTGTGGTTGGGGGGCGTGCATCTGCACCTTGGACAGAGACAATAGTCCTCCTGGGCTCAGAGGCACTGCTGGGCACTAACAGGAAACAACCCACATCCAGCAGTGCTGCACAACCATCTAGAGAACCACTTAAGGCCTTATTTCACTCCCACTCATTTAATGACCAATTCCAGAAATGCTCTATTCTCTAATTTCAGAACAAAGCCTGGCTCCTGACTACAGTTACATAAAAAGATCTCAGAGCAAGAAGAGAAATCAACTCCCTCACCATCTGGACACAAACGCTCAGGCTGGGAGAGAAGACTTGTTGGCTGCCCCTCCCAGCATGAGGCAGCATTAGTGCCCTCAGGACCCTGTGGCACCTGGGAACATGTCAGCTCCTGCAGGGATATCTACCTGGGAGCAGCTCCACTAAGGGCAAACTGCAAACAGAGGCAGATGACCCAGGAAGGGGGTGAACCTCCTCCTCAGTCCTCACAAGGGGCTTCTTACAGCCTATAAAGGAAACTTACAAACACTCCAAGTGACAGATGCAGCCAACTAATCTGGACTTTAAAGTACAAGAAGCACAAATGCTGTATTTAACATTTACAGGTTTGATATTTAATATAACCTTTAACAATGGTCATGCCTCATAGTTAGAGTAATGTAACTGGAGCAAACATGAGGCCTCCCACACCAGACTCAAGGATTTGTGCCAGCACTGCTGTGCGTGCTGCAGAGAGGCTAACCCCATCCCCACAGTCACCTTCCTGGGCCCTTGGGGAGCTCTGCCCTCAGGGCTTAGCTTTGGAGGATTTCCCTGATCTCAGAGAGAAAGACAAGTCAGTACCCTGTTGGGTTTTGCTATTGTTGTTTCCATGATTTCCTAATGATGGAAAACAAGACCTTCACCAGGCTAGAAGTCACCTAACAGGTGGCGCCCTCCCAGGCTGCTTCTCCAGTGGTGTAGCCCGTGGTGCCCACTGCTGTGGCCACATGGGGCTCTCCAACTGTCCCTGACTGTGGCCTGGCCTTTGAAGTCAGAGCTCCTGACAGGAAAGCACATGGGCAGGAGCCATGGGTAAGGCTGACTGCTCTGCACCAATGGCTGCTCAGACTTGAGACCAAAGGGACCTTTGTGAGCAATTCCTCTCCAATCTCACCCTGAGGGCAAATGCCCTGGGGCCCTGCACAGCCTTGCCTCTGTTACCCACTGCAGGCCCCTCCTGAGTCTTGGCTGTGAAGTCCAGTGGCAGCACAGGCTGCTTGGTTCTATGTCCAGCTTGGCCCCTGGAGCCCCTGTATCTGCCCCCAGGTCTGGGAAGTACCTGCCTCTCTGGCTCTTCCAGCTCCATGCTGCCCTCCTCTTTCCAGACACCACTCCTGCTTCTCACCAATACCTGAGACAGACACGGACAAGCTGCATGCAGGCAGCTCCAGACAGAGCCGCTGTATCCCTGAGCCATGGGCCTCAGTGTACTCCAGTTCTCTGGGCCAGAGCCATGGCCATGGTACCAACTATAGCCAGGTGGTCCTGGTCTCCCACCATGTACCCACTGCCTCCCACCCATTGCAGAAAGTAACAAGAACCCATAGTTGTATCCACTTTCCAGTGGCTGAGGAAGCCCCTCAGGTCAGGTGGCTGGAAGCCCCTCAGGACAGACGCAGGATGTGAATCCAGAGCCCTAAACCTGGGCTCCCACCACACAGGGAGGATGGGGAAAAGATCCACTGTAGGGCGCGAGGCCTGTGGCAGGAGCACCCTCAGCATTGGGCTTGTGGCTCTGTGGAGCCAGCTGGGGCGTGGAGGCACACGGGGGATACAGTTGGAACAAAGCAAATCTGACCCCTGCCCTCCCAAGTGCAAAAAACTCTGAAATGCACAACATGATACCATGTAGCAGGTGGGGATGGTGGACCCCAGAGCTGGTGCCCTGCACGGGGGCAGCTCTGGAGGATGCCCTGACACTCTGGGGCCCATGGGCATTCCTAATTCCATACCCTTACACATTCTCCAAACTACAGCTCCTCAGAAAGGAAAAGACTCAGCATGAGGCCATGAGCAGCGCATTCTGGTTTCACTGCAGAACAGTGTGTTTTGAGGGACTAGTTAGCATGTGGGACCCTAGGTACCTGCCACACACCCCCTGGCCCTCTAGTTTCAGGCTGACACCTTCCTGGGAGACACAAGGGCCAAGGGCCAAAAGTGCCATGTCCTGGTATATCAGGAATCACAGGCACATGGACGTGAAGGCTCCTGGCCTATGGCTGAGCAGGACATGAGGGACCTCTTGGAGGAAACCAGAAGAAGCCACAGCACCCGGCGGTTATCCAGCCAGCATGGAGGCATGAAGGAGGCAAGTCCTTTGTCAGCTGTCCTGGGATATCCAATGGGGGCATCTCAGGTGCTGCTCAGCAACCTGCATCTTTCCTAGCAGGACAGGAGCCCTTCCTGACAGGCACCCGCCACCCTCACTCTCAGCCAGCCCCTCCCCTGGTCCATCCACAGACACTGAGCTTCCCAGGGAGAGGACAGCGCTCCGAGAATGGCTGTGGGGATGCCCCAAATCCCAGTATTCCCACCCACTCTAAAGATGAGAAGGAGAGGTGTGGAAACTGACCCTCGCTTTTCCACTCAGTGTTTTCCACCTCTCTCCTCTGTGCTGATCAGACACAGGAATGAGGCTGGCAGAGAGTGGGCAGTGTACATCCAGGGCCTCTGAGGATGTCTCAGGAGTCCCTCACAGAAAACAGAGCACAAGAGTTACTCATGTCACAAACTACACCAGGATGAGCCCATGGGTTTGAAAAGCTTTCCTAAGAGGACCCCACCTGGGCCACGGGCCCCAGCTGCCCTAGCCCATGCCAGCCTCAGCCTAGAGAATGTCTCCTTGTGGGGGGGGGGTGGTGGTCCCTGACTGCTGTTTGCTGTGTCCAGTGTGGCTCAGATAGCCCCTCTCCTATGACTGCATCAGTGTCCTGGGGGCCACCTAGGAGCTGCCCATCTGCAGATGGTCCTGGTGGGGCTCCTGTCTGCACCACTGTGTGGGTGACCCTATGTGTACCCCATCTGCCTCACCGTCCCTGTCCTCCCTTCCTCCTGGGTGAAGTAGCCCCAAAATCCTACCTGTAGAGAGACCTGACCATCCCTGGGCAAGTGTCCCCAGGGCGGTCACCACCGTGGACTTTGTGGCCTTGCTGATTTGCTGGTGCAGAGTTGGCTCTCAGTATGTTTTTATAATCAAATACATTATAATAAATGCTTAACAGAAGCATGCAGGGAGAGTGAGCAGGTATGACTGCCAGGCAGGGCACAGGTGATCATTTGTGTCTGCCCCAACCCTAAGCACCCAACAGAGATCTTTACCCACACCCAGGCAGAAAGCACTACTTGCAGAGATGTCCTTGAAGTGCTTCCAATAATCCTTGCTGACCCGTAAATCTACTGCTGGGCTGGGTAAACACAAAGCTGTGTTCCAGGATTCCCTGGGCAGCCACATCCCAGAGCCAGTGCCACAGCCTCACCCACAAAGGGGCCTCATTGTTGGTGGAGCCCAGACCCATGCAGGCATCCCCGTCCTGGCTGCTCCCAGTCCTGGTTGGTTTGCTGGTGCCACCACCAGGAACTCAAGCTTTCCTGTTCTTCTTCAGTTTCTTGTTAAATAGCCTTAAGTCCCTCTGAATAAGTATACACCTATGAACAAACATGAAAACGAACAAAGTCTGTCTTGCTGGACCCACAGGCACTCATTTTGAGAGCTCGGGTAATGATTACACACTGAGTCAGTCACACACAGCTCAGCTATGTCCTGCCAGTACCCAACTCTAAGAGCAGCGAGTCCCCTACTTGCTCACCCTGCACTGCCTGAAGGCTGTCGTCAGCTATCAGCTTGATGGTTTCAGGACAGAGAAGTTACCTGTATTTATCACCAGAGAAGGAGTAAGTGCCAATGCCACCCCGAGTCCCCAGTTGTCTCCTCAGGCCAGCAGGGCAGTCTCTGAATTTGACACAAAGGGACCCCTTGCTGGCTACCCTGAGCTTTGCTCTCTCCTCACTGGCAGAGGAGAGATTGCCATTTTTGCAAAGACCAGCCAGGCAGGAATGATGCCAGCCTTTGTGAGTCTGCAAGTGGCTGGGAAGCAAGTAGCCACCTGTGCAAAATGATGTGTGCACATCTGTGTGTCTCCTGGAGTCCCCAGCTTTCTGCGGATTCTCTCAGGTCAGCCACCATAGAGGGCCAGGAGCCCTGCTATGAAGTGCTGAGCTAACCCCAGAAGGTGCACACACCTGTGCCCCACACACACCTGCATCCCAGCACACCCTTGGCCCCTGTGTACCTGTGGCCTACATGCCTCATGCCCTGCACACCTGTGCCCAAACATACCTATGCCCTGCACACACCCACACACTACATACACCTGTGCCCCACACACCCTGTGCACACCCAAGCTCTCTCACATGCCCGCAAGTATCTTGTGCAGAAAGGTCTGGGCTTGGCAGGAGGCCAGGGTTCCAGCTATCAACCTGTCTCCTCAGTTCTGGGGGGGGCCTCACCATCCCTGTCCCTGAGAGGCTCTGAACAACTATGGCTGTTTGCAAAAGGCCCAAACATGTGGGGCTTCTGCTTTACTGAGGATATTAAAAAGAATGTTCCAGAACCTCTAAAAACAATGTCATCTTGGAGGGTCACCAAGTCTAGAGCTTTCAAGGTGTGTTAGGGCAGCCCCGCCTTACCGTGCGGCCAGCTTGTGGCAGACGACACCCGAGTCAGTGATGACTTCACTCAGCCTCAGCTCCAGGTGGACCTTGCCCTGCAAGGCACAAGGACAGAGCATCACTCAGGGACAGGCTCTATGCCCCACGTGCCACTAGGGGCATAGTGTGGAGACACTGAGAGGGCAAAGGGAATGAGGAGTTTGGCTGCTTTCCCAAAGAGCTGGTGACTTGGCCACAAGTGCTCTTGGCTCTGTTGAGAGCAGGTTTCCGTTTCAGAAGTTCAGGGTCCAAATGTGCAAGATCACATCGGTGGACAAAAGCAGCTGTGAGTCACTTGCATATCCATCAACACAGCACAGGCCCTGTGGCCAGGCACCCTGAGTCTCAAGGGAGGGTGGGGGGGAGCAGGAGGAAGGGAGCTCTCCCCAGGATGGGTCTGTCTAGTCCTGTGGCTCTGGTCCCCTCAGATGAATAAGAAGGATAGGGATCTCCAAGTCCAGCTGGTGCCAAGGCAGTGCCAGAGCATGAAGAGAGGGCTGCTTGCTAGGGCACTTGTCTGTGTGTGCGCCTGTGTGCCCACCAGCCTATGTACCTGTGTATGCATTTGCCTGAGTGTCACCCGTGTGCGTCGGCCTGAATGTTACCCATGTGTGTCTGTGAGTGTCACCTGTGTATCTGCCTGAATGTCACCCATGTGTGTCTGCCTGAGGGTCACTCGTATGTGCATCTGCCTGAGTGTCACCTGTGTGTATGTCCGCTTGCACACACACAACCTGGGGGGAGAGGTCTGAGAGCAGTATGCACTGCACACCTGTGTGTATTTGTCTGGTATTGAAATCAGAATTGTTTTTAATTACAGAAGGAGACTGAACTAGATAATCTCAGTAAGCATTCCAGACCCTCAGCCTGGGGTGAACCCTTGAAATGCAGCCTTGTCTCAGAGGCCAGGGTCCCTCCCAAGACAGCAAGTGACCTTGGGCCCCAATTTCTGCACAAAAGCCTTCCTTGCTTCTCAGCTGCCCCCTGTTGGCGGGACCCAGAGGGGCGCCAGGGACCTCCAAGCTCGGCCCTGCGACCTGCTGGCCTCATAAGCCATAGGATGCCGTCCAGCCTACCCACTGCACCTGTGAAGGGCCTGCAGGACAGGCAGACCCCTGACAATAGAACCAGAGGGGCCAGTGCCTCCAAGACTGCCATAGACACATACAGAGGCCTGGGAGCGCAAGCCAGACCAACAGGTCCTGAGCTCACCCATCGCGTGTCCAGCCAGGCCAAGAATCTGTCTTTGGGGCTTTCCCCACGACAGGCAGAACGCCCAGAACCTTGATAGGGACACCAGAGCCAATGGCACCATGTGCCCCAGGCCACTGCTATCTTGAGTGAGAACCTAGTCTGTGCCCATGCAGGGCCTGTGGGGACCCACTCACTGGGGCCTGGCCTTCCTGCAGAGGCCATGGCCCCAGAGCAGACCCTCAGGGACCAGCAGCTGGTGACAGGTGGAATGTGGGTGGCAGCCACAGCAGCTCTGTAGGCAGAGAAAGTCTCCAACGAGGTCACCTTCTGATCTCTGCACATTACTGCCAACAGTTCTCACAAGCCAGAGAAGTGGGCATAGCTACCCCTGGGCTGAGGAAGGTCCTTTCGTGCCAAGTACAGGACAAAAGAATCCTATAGAATTCACCGCAGGGAGTCTCCAACTCACTTGCGTTCTCAGCCCCAGGCGCCATCTCCCTAATGGCAAACCATTAGGATCTGCCCCTGTGCAGACTGATGCGGCTCCAAGTCATTTTCAGTGGGTTCTGAAAATCACGGAATGCATCATGGTGAGACCAACAGGCAGATCTGGGTCACACTCTGGTCCACGTGCTCCCTGACAAGATGGCACACACCACGCAATTTGTGGCTTTCCATGTCCTAGTGCTTTGGGAGAGGGACGGTAAGAGGTAAAACTAGCAGGAAAAAGCCTCTGTGCCCTGGAGAGGGCCTTTCTCCTGCCCCCGGGTGTGGCTGGGTGGGGGGGAGGCTCTGACAGGGCAGGTGATGCCTCTGGGCACTAAAATCCCAGACCAGAAACACATATGCCTGGCTGCCCTCCACGAGCGCTGCCCTTGTTTGGGGTGGGCAGGAAGCGTGGCCCAGCCTCAGCAGCCCCAACAGCACCCCAACAGTGCCCCAGCAGCCCCAGCAGCCCCAGCTTAATCACCCATGGTATCCACTGGCCTGGGTAAGACCTACCAAGGTGTAGACAAGTATCCTGTATTTATGAGAAAAAAGAGATTGAGGGCAGTGCAGAAAAAATGCTGACTTGATTTTTTTTTCTATTGGTATTGAGGTAAATAATGACACTAAGAAATTATAAAAAGCAACTGGGAACTGATCACAGTCAGCAACAGAACATGTATCCTGCAGGCACAGAGAGACCACTGTCCTGC